CTAAAATTGCATTTTAGTCAAAAGACTATGACTAAAACTAAATTGAAATCTGCTGTCAAAATTAACACTGCCTCAGTCGTGAAGAAACATTCTAACTGGGCTCTGGTACACAAACAGAAAGCCAACATGAGTTTTTTATAACCCGAAGTTCAAACTCACTGACACTGGTAGGCCGAAGGTGAGAGATGTATAAATGACAGACGGTCAGGAGGTGCCCACAGGAGGAATTATGACCTAATCACAGACGGGGAAGGGCCCCAACGACGCATAATGGGAACGCCAGCCGACTGAACCCCTCAGGCTTGTAAATGCATAAAATATTAAATTTCATTCATGCAGGGAACCAGTGGCTCCTATTCCACAGCTGGGTCTTTACTGAGAACATGTCAGTGAAGGAGGTCCACTGTGGACCGGCAGCCATCTTCACCCACTCTCCCCCATTAGTGACTCTCCCTCATGAGTCAATCTCCTCCACCACTATTTACTTCCGTTTAAAGTCAATTAATGTAGTAAATCAGTAAAAACGAGTACAATGGGGAAATTTGGGGGCAAAACAATAGTGACTGGATCAGGAATTTAGACTAGACAGAATTATGTCATATTTTAGTGCTGTTAACGAAGTAGTAAATGGTGTGTGTGACTTATTCAACACATCGACAGTTAATTTTTGGGCACATTTTCCCCACGAAGACAGGGAGACCTACATACAATTTCCACAAACATACACATTTCCCTTCCAACCTAACATTTACCCACTAAACCTGGGCCCTCTAGTGGTGTGGAGGAGCTTCTGCATGTATGTGAAAATGACTCGATGACCTGAGAGACTGAAAAACGACTTTGGTACAGAGAGGTTGGGAGAACTGCTCCTGTTTTCCCTTCAAAGGACTGAGCAGGAAAGAGGTCAATGAAACAAAAAGGAAGAACACAGAAAAAAAAACCCAAAAAGGCATGATTCAGCAAGAACAAGAAATAACCTGAACGGAATTCAGGACAGACATCAGGGTCAGCTCAGGCTTACTGGTGGTGAACCACAGCAGGATATATCAATTTATACTGTCAGACATTACAAGGGCACAGGATATGCGAATCAACTGACATAATCAAAGTCATGTGACCTTCCCCTCTCCAAAAAAACCCCAAAATGTGAAACAAGAAGCCAGGCTCAACCACAAGGAAAGTGTATCACTTGGTTGGCATGTTGTTAACTGTCCTGGCCCACAGAAAGTGCCAAGAACTGGACTGAGGTCAGAGCATTGCAAGATCTTACATCTACAGTCTGCTGCCAGAATAAACAGCAGAGCATTATGAAGCCCAAAGGCAGCATTTCTGCAACAAGCTGAAAACGTCCAGCTGAAGCTGTCAGGAAAGACAGATCCAACGATCCAGCAAAGTACATCCAGCGTGAGGGTTGTCGCTGACGACGTGCATCGAGTTTCAAAGTTTTAAATTTCACGTTTTAATCGTCACGTGTTTGGGAGAACATGGTGAAATTCTTGCACCACAGTTGTATGGGAGGGTGCATGGGGGGGGGGGGGGGGGGGGGGGGGGCAATAGGACAAACAGCTGTGCAATTAAGGACAAAAATATAAAAAGTGAAACAATAAATGGGAGGTGCATCGGGGAATGATGCACAAATGGCGGCAGCACTGAAAAGGCACTGAAGTGGAATTTCAACAAAAATGTACCCGAGGCTTCAAGCTCAGTTAAAGGGAACATCTTTTCTTTAATGTTAAAAGCTTATAATGTCACAACCCAGAAAAAAATCCTCTATTCAGGTAACACACTCATACCTCAGGGTCAATGGGCCAGTTGTGGTTGAGTAATTAGGTCAGGGTAACTGGCGGGTCATGTAGGAACACTGAAGATCTGGAGAACATTTTGTTTTTAGCTCCGATTTCCGGACATCGACTTTTAAAGAGGCAGGACCGCCAGCTCTCTGTTTCTGTGTAGAATATCATTATTTTTTTTGACTGAAAAACCCTCTTAGGCAAAGCTGACTGCAAAAAAAGAAGAACAGAGTGTTTTTTCAGGAATAAGAAGAAACTGGATACGGATGAAGGCGGTAACGTACTGGTTATCAACAAGAACTAATTGACGAGAAATAGTCAATGGTCAAAGTCTGACTTCAAACACGCCGTTAACTCAGACCATACAGAGCATACTCCTGAAGTCTGGTGTGCCCTTCTATGGCTCAGTCGTAACACGACACAGACCTGCTACACCTGCTACTGTCACTTAAACAGACTGGACCCCTTGGTCCAACAGGTGCTAGACCCCTATACCACAGGTACCATCANACCCCTTGGTCCAACCGGTGCTAGACCCCTATACCACAGACACCATCATCAGCACCCTACCCCCCCTCGTCTAGACCCTGCGATGGTGCTACATGACAGCACATGGATCTTAGCGGTTTATCTCCTGCTTTAACAGCCGTCAGACTCTGCCCCCCCCCAAAAAAAAAGCTTGTCGTCAGCTTCCGGACGCGTTAAATCCCCATGGAAGGTTACACTCATGAGACCAACAGAGTTTTAACTCCCGCGCTTCCATAACCACAAAAGCACATTTGACTTACCTTCCGGTGGCCTGTCCTAAATCAAGCCTGACTGCATGTTTGCCAATCGTCGAACAAAGCTGAGCTCTGAACCAACGAGGTAGTGACATAGATTTAAAGATTAGTGGTCATTGTTGACACACCACAGCGCACAACAACGAAACGTGACCTCTGCATTTAACCCATATGTGATGTTGTGACATAGCAGGGGGCAGCTAATTCAGCACCCAGGGAAAAGACAGACAGCATAGCAGAGAATGGTTTCGATCCATTGACCTCTGGGTTATGGGCCCAGCACGCTTCCGCTGCGCCACTCTGCTACACAGTGGGTTGTAGTGTCATGACCATCAGTGGGCGGGGGTTTATGGATGTCGGCCTCATTGATGAGCTCATTCAGCTCTTATCCAACGCTGTGGTGTATAGATCGGACCATGCCCCCCTCCCCCCTTCCAAATTCATACCTCAAGCCTGCCTACACCAGTCACAGATGATGACCTGAAATCTACACCTCTGTACATTTCAAAATTGTTCAAGCATTGTAGCTTTTTTTTTGTGTTGACTCCCACCATAATGAGATTGTATTCAGAAATTTATGTCAAAACGGAAATTTTTCACTCACCAGCAAATTATGACACTCTATATCTGCTATAGCGAATACACACTGTATTTAAGTTGGGTGACTGGGGAAAGGTGCGGGAATAAACAGTGAATAATAAACGAATTAATATAAAAAATAAACAAGAGTGCCAGTCGAGCTGAATGAGAAGCAGCAGACAGCCTTTCACACCAGCCCCACAAGGCGCTCAGGGGTGTAAAACTGCCCGGTTCCGTTCAGATTGACAAATGGGAGAAGGCTGGTGAATGAGCCTCCATGAGCCAATGAGAAGCTACGGCCCGCCCATCCACCTCTCCCATTGGCTGTACACACCTTCATACGTCACCCTAGCTGCTCGATGAGGGCAGTACGCACACTCCGGTAAGGTATTTTTGCGGGTGACGAAGCCTGTGCGGTGCTTTGTTAATATATTTAATTTGTTCTGCCTTGTTCCGTTTGAGCATAAAATTATTTAAGATTACAGTGCAGTGTGTTTCTCCGGCTTCACGTCTCTAAATAGTCTTTATGGTCACATTACAGTGAGAAATCCCCAATGAGGGGGACCCGTTTTCCCCACAAATACCTGTGGGTCATATCATATGCGCAGTACCCCCCGCCAAGAACCCGTGTATCTAGGGTTAATAGGTATCCTGCGTGGCTAGTAATTAGTAACGCTCTTATGTACGTAATCAGTGAAATGAACGTTTCTCATGCCCCAAAGGACTAATCAAGGTGCAGACTGATGCCCGCGGCCGCGGTGCGCTGATTCGGTTCATCCTAAAGCAAAGGCGCGCCGGGCGGCGAGTCACGTGACCGACTTAGCGCTCATCTTCCCAGCGCCCCGCTTTCCCTCCGGACGTCGCTCCGATGCCGCTGCGCCCCTTTTCTTCCTGCTACACCCATCGTGGCGGGTGTCCTAGCGAACCGGACGCTGGGACAACCTGAGGCATGAGTAACGCACTGTTAGCGGCCAGTAGGCAGACTGCAGGCAGCGTCCGGACAGGGAAACCGGCGCAGATGCCATGTATTTGCAGCACTGTTGGCACCAAAGGGACAGAGCAAAAAAGAAGAAAAATATATTATATATGAAGTACAATTATTGCTCACCTCAGTCGTGTCTTTGCAGAGAACTGGGACACACATGACAGCTGAATTTCAAGCCTATTATAGTGTTTTCCATTTAACAGCAGAGCCCAAAGGGGACATTTAGGTCAGTCGCATCACATGTCCGTTTTTGGTTTTATGGTCCTGTGCAGTTCGGGAATGTAAAATGAATAAGTGACACTGGTTCTCCACACATCGGCGAATGGCTGTATATCGCCCTTCACACACCTGCTGGACACATTTTCCCACACACTAGGTGAACATGGTGAGCTTCACAGTGAGAAAACGTGAGAAAAAAAACACGTCCCACTACGGAGCAGCAAGTTACCAGTGCAACTTTTAACAAGCCTGTCCATCCACAAATACACCTCAGCTCCTAAGGTGCCCATTCATAAAACCAGCTCGCAGCATCAGTCCTGCAGCATCAGTCTACGTCCCCTTCTGCTAATACATTACGGTGGGCTGAGGTGGCATCAAACCCACCTTCGACCCTCGACAGGCATCTCATATCGCCTCATCGTAACCTTTTTAACATGAGTGCAATTGAACTTAGCACATATATCCGCTGACACACTGCTGTCGCGCCTTTTAAATCCAGTTTCACTGTTGATCGTAACACCGTTCTTTAATAATTGATTTAAAAAACACCGGAATCGGAAACCCGCAGCAGTCACCGTGCAAAAAGCGGTTCTTGCTGTGTTTTATTTCCTTTGCGACGGAATAACATTGCAGTGCCGGGAAAGCGTCCTTCTAGGCAGGATGTCAACACCGATCGTAGTTCCCATCAGCAATCACCTGGCCGTTTGTTTCACAGCCTGCAAGGTGCTGTGCCACGTTATTAGACATCACACAGATGCGGGGGGATCCGCACGCTCGTACCTAAGTGACAGCGTGTTTTATGTCGTTTTCTGCACCGATCTCGGTAGCATTTAATGATAGAAGGTATATGTTGGCTACCTCTAAGGCTGCTTGAGCAGGACAGGAGCGTGTTAAAGCTCCCGGCTATATAAGCACAGCAACTTACGTATAAGGAGCCGATCGGAAGCCGGATGGCCGCCAGCCGCCGAACCAGGTGTACCCTTTCCCGGAAGGTCGATGAATGTTATTTCAGTTCAGCTGCAACTTTTGCTAGGTTAACCTCGGTCTCCTCTCTTAGTCCGAATTGTGCAGCAAAGCCGGGAGGGCGTTAGGGGCCAATCAACCGGTCCCGGTGGTGTCATCAAGCGGCACCTTCGGGGCTCATGGTTATCTTCCGTATGTACTGGGAGGTAGTAGCGCGGTCCCTGGCGGAGACGCTTGTGCATCAGGCAGGGCGGCGAGATCCGCTCGGCGGGACCATCCCTCTGGCAGCACCCAGGTCTCCGGTCGAGCAGCCAATCAGGCGGCGGTACCCGAGCCCGCTTCTCTCATCCAGCGAGACGCGGCGGCGCCGTGCCGCAGAATGATCCCCTATGAATGGATCATTCACCCTTTCCTCTACCGGCAAGGCTACTCGATTACTGGTTTTATGCGTCACTGTTTGTCCTTTCGATTGGTATCCGTTTGCCGGGTTCATGGATTAAGGCAAATTTGACTTAATCGTTTTTCTAACGAGTATAATAATAAGCCCGTAATTAACTCTGAACAATACTGGAGCTTTAAATTCCTGAATTCTTCTGTGCCTATATTAAGCACCTTATTAATATCCCTTAATGTATTTCAGGATTATTTCATTATAGGGAAACGGTCGTGTGCAGTTACACTAAACGGCGCGCACAATAACTTAAATTTCTCCGAATGTATAACGCGCCCGCTCACTTAAGAAATCCTCTGGTCCATCTCTATCTTTCGGATCATGGATAGGTAGAGCAGTAGTGCAGTGAGTACAGAATAAATTTAAGGTTAGTAACTCAAATCCCAGGGTATATGCTACTTAACCTAAACTTCTCAATATATATAAGTTGCCACGGTATGCCATTAGCTATGCAGCTAAATGTAGCTGACATATTAGCAAACAGATTCCCACCTCATACTCAAATCTACCTTCACCTCGGTGCCAGCATAGTCAAGCTAATCAAGCAGGGTGTAGCTGCTTTCTCGCAGTATTAGGCCCTATATGTAAGTCACACTAAGGCAGAGGATTTCAAATTGCAAGGGAGCCACAGGTGGGGGGAAAAGGAATTGTGGGGGAGGGGGAGGAGGTTGAGCTGGGGGCATATCTGTTTCAAAATTGCAGACTTCACAGATATGAAAAGTAATGTTAACACATTTTATGCCATTACACATTATATGATGCTAACAAATTAGGCAGGGGTGCATTGAATATACTGAGCTGTTATGTCTAGAAATGTTACGAAAGTTTACAGTGGGAAAGCTGCTCAGTTAATCCTGAGAGGAGCCGTGGAGAAATTTTTAGCCGCTAGTAGAGCTACAAGGAAACGTAACGGCAAAGCAACACATAAAACGAGCAGAAACATAAGATATGATGACATGTCTGCAACACCGGTTTGTGTCAGTGCGTGTGGGTGGGTGAGGAGGGATCAGGACAAATATATCAGCCCTGGGGGGGGGGGTGGCTGTCAAGGAAAGTTTGAATACTGCTTTGCTAAGTTCTGCTGTGGTTACCAAGCAAAATGGTTATTACCTCGAGGTTCTGGGTCCCATGAAAGCATATCATACTGGGCCTTCAACCCAGACCAATCCAGTTATCTTTCAGCTATTTAATCAGGGACCCTTGGAATCGTCTCCCCCTCCCCCTTTACTTGCCTGTCCATATCTTCATGCTCTTTCCCAGTTGGGCTCCCCGCATGCTCACCGCCTGTCTTTACCACCACTCAGCCCTTGAGGTTTGACAGACAGTCACTACCCTAAATATTATATTAACACATTCCGTATTAAGCAGATGCTGGAGTAGCGTGTTCTGCTAACCATCCAGCTAGCTACGATCTTCTGACTCACTAGCTATTATTTAGTTTTTAAAACATCGGTGGTGGGGGGGGTGACTTTATGATTGTCCCCCCCCCCCCATGAGCATAGTCCCCCTTGGGTGCTGAAGCCAAAATGACCAGCTTGTCAGCTCTCCTTTGTCTTTTAAACCCATCCCCTACATAAAGCCCCCATTCCACCCAGCAACCCTGTGCTGTGAGTCTGTACACCTTACCAAACCAAGCAGGAGCCCCTTACAGACATGCTTCATAGGAAAAAACACCACGGGGTAGAATTAAAACAGAAAAGCTGGATACTGAGCACAGAACCCCAGATCCACGCCACATACAGACAGGCATTATCCCGGTCAGGCTTTTGGGCTTTTACTCTAAGTAGGATGGCTGCCAAGCAGTCAGTGCTAACAGGACCAGGGCCTCTGGCTGTTAGGTATGCAGAGGAAAC